CCTCCTCCTCCTCCTTCTCCTCCTCCTCCTCCTCCTCCTCTTCTTCATTTATGTACTTTACATTCTCAATACACCCCTCCCTCCTCTCCTCCTTGTCCCACCCTCCCATCATCTTCCCTCTTTCTCCCTTTCCCTTTTTCCCCCCTCCCCTCTTCTCAGAAAAGGGAGCCCCCTCCCTTTGCCAAGCCTCCCTGGCACATCCAGTCACAGCAGGACTAAGCACATCCTCTTCCACTAAGGCCACACAAGGCAGCCAGCTAGAGGCAAGGGACCTAAAAGCAGGCAATAGAGTCCATTGTCAGAGAGAGCCCCTGCTCCACTTGCTAGCGGACCCACAAGAAGATCAAATTGCCCATCAGTTACATACATGTTTCATACACACATACATACATACATACATACATACATACATACATACATGCATGCATGCATGCATACATACATACATACATACATACATACATACATACATACATACATACTGCCTAGGTTTGGTCCATGTATGAGCTTTGGTTGGTGCTGCAGTCTCTGTAAGCCCCTATAAGTCTAGGTTAGTTGACTTTGTTGGGGTTTTTGTGGAGTTCTTGTCCCCTCCAGGTCCGTCTATTCCTCCTCCCCCACTCTTCCACAAGACTCCCCGAGCTCTGCCTAATGTTTGGCTGTGACTCTCAGCATTGGCTCTTTCTATTTGCTGCTGAGTGGAACCTGTCAGAAGCAGTTATGCTAGGCTCCTGTCTGCAAGCATAGCAGAGTATCCTTAATAGTGTCAGGGGCTGGCTCTCTCCTGTGGGTGGCTCTCAGGTTGGGCCAGGCATTGGTTGGACATTCCTCAATCTCTGCTCCATCTTTATTCTGCATTTCTTGGAGGCAGGGTAAATTTTGGGTTGAAGGTTTTGTGGATGGCTTGATGTCCCCCTCCCTCCACTGGAAATCCTGCCTGGCTGTGAGGTGGCCACTCCAGTTTCCATGTCCCCTACTTCTAGGAGTCTCAGCTAGAGCACCCCTATATCCTCCCAGAAGCCTGCTGCAGATCTCCAGCTTGTCCCTGTGATCCCCCCACCCCCATTTTCTTTTTTTCTAAAGCACCATTTTCTATGTGTGCTTGACTGCAGAGCTCATCTGAAAACTATAGTAGCTGTTGGTATTGTTAATAATGTTTTGCTGAGTTAGGCCTCCTATAAACACTTCCAAACATAGATGGTGAGCACATTGTGTGTGGATTTTTTACTGAACTAAACTTAAGAGAATAAGATTCTCTATTCTGCATATAGAAATCACAAGGGGCCAACGGTCTTGAACTATCAATGATTGTCAGTCACTTAAGGATCAACTAGATTAAGGATTTGAAAACAAGTAGGAACCTTCAAAGATTAATAACTAAGAAGCATATCATGGTCATTAGCAAGGGAATGTAAGGTGACGGTCACTGGATTATACATAGCATAGCGGCAGTAGGTTAAAAAAATGCTGATTTGTACCCTTAAATATTTCAAGGAAAGGAGAGATCATGTCATGTATTCTTACCAGAAATAATAATAAAAGCGGGACTGGAGAACACTTTGGAAGTTCAATGGTCTTGAGGGTAATGGTGATGGTTTTGTGGTCTGTTGAGTTTTATACATTATAAATTACATTTTCACATGTAGGGTGTACTTTATATTTTGTTAAGTGGTTAAATGTATTGGCAAATGCTAAAATAAACCTTGAGGTATCTGTGCTTCCCTAGACATTGCCATGAAGCAGAATCCTGATCCTCACAGGGACTTATCCAATGACTGAAAAGCACATGGTCACCAATACTCAAGCTGGAAATGCAGACATACAAATGTAGCTTCCCTAGCACATTAACCGAGACTGTATTCAGATAAGAAATTGAGGAACACGTTTCTTTTTGTAATTATTTTTATTTTTTATATTAATTACAGTTTATTTACTTTGTATCCCAGCTGTAGCCCTCATTCCCTCCCAATCTCACCCTCCCTCATCTCCTCCCTGCCCCTCTCTGAGTCCACTGATGTTCTCCTTCCCTTCCATCTGACCTTAGCTTGTCAGGTCTCACCAGGACTGGCTGCATTGTCCTCCTCTGTGGCCTAGCTGGGTTGTTCCTCCCACGGGGGAGGAGAGCACTGAGTTCATGTCAGATGTCTCCGACATATTCCCCTTACTAGGGTACCCACTTGGATACTAAGCTGCCATGGGCTACATCTGAGCAGGGGTTCTAGGTTATATCCATACATGGTCCTTGATTGGAGAATCAGTCTCAGACAAGACCCCTGTACCCAGATATATTTGGTCCTTGTGGAGCTCCTTTCTTCTCCAGGTCTTACTAACTCCCCCTTTTTCGTATGATTCCCTGCACTCTGCTGAAGGTTTGGTTATGAGACTAAGCATCTGCTTTGATGCACTGCTAGGTAGAGTCTTTCAGAGGCCCTCCGTGGTAGGCTCCTGTCCTGTTCCCACTTTCTGCCTCTTCCAATGTCTGTCCCGTTTGCCTTTCTGAGTGAGGATTGATCATATCCAGGGTCCTCCTCCTTGCTTAGCTTCTTTAGGTGTACAGATTTTAGTATGTTTATCCTGTCTTATAGGTCTAGTATCCACTTATAAGTGAATATATACTGTCTGTGTCATTCTACTTCTGGTATACCTCACTCAGGATGATCTTTTCTAGGTCCCACCATTTGTGTGCAAATTTCATGATTTCCTTGTTTTCAATTGCTGAGCAGTATTCCACTGTGTAAATGTACTACAATTTCTGTATCCATTCCTCCGTTGAGGGACATCTGGGTTGTTTCCAAGTTCTGGCTATTATGAACAAAGCTGCTATGAATATGGTTGAACAAATGTCCGTGTTGTGTACTTGAGCAACTTTGGGGTACATGCCTAGGAGTGGTATAGCTGGATCTTGAGGTAGCGCTATTCCTAATTGTCTGAGAAAGCACCAGATTGATTTCCAAAGTGGTTGTACAAGTTTACATTCCCACCAGCAGTGGAGGAGGGTTCCCCTTTCTCCACAACTTTTTCAGCATGTGTTGCCACTTGAGTTTTTGATCTTAGCCATTCTGATGGGTGTAAGGTGAAATCTAAGGGGCGTTTTGATTTGCATCTCCCTGATGGCTAAGGACATTGAGCATTTCTTTAAGTGTTTCTCTGCCATTCTATGAGGAATATGTTTCGTAAATGAACTTAGAGAATCAGCAAGCATCAGTCAAGCAAAGGAGCTAGGAAGGAGCAGGCCTTGAAGAACAGAAGCTGTCAGGCGTTCACCTGTAATTCTTGCATGGGGGCTGAAGGTGGGGACTATCAGAAGAGCAACAGCAACGCTGATAGCGGGATAGTAATAACTTGTAGTAATAAGGCAGCTGGAGTACGATTAGCGGCCAAGGTGATGCAGAAGCGGTGTTCCTACAGGCCGTTTCACAGATTTCCATGCAGGTTTGCTACGATATGAATATCCTCTACCTTCAAAATTCAGCTGTTAACAGCTGACCCTGGTAAGTAGGAAAGCAGAGTGGAAAGACAGATGCTATGATGAGGGGAGCACTCATGGGTAGTATTAGAACGCTTCCAGAGAAAGCACAGGAGATGCCTTCACCCTCCACGTGTGTCTATACAGGTGTAGAGCAGAGAGTAGACCTCCAGACCGTGGACACTGGTGACGAGATTTGTGTACTCTTTAGAACTGTATGAGATCACTTTCTATGTTCATAAACCATGTAGTTTAAGAGTGTTGTTGCAGCCACATGAAGAGAATTGAAAGCTATTGAGACATGTTAATCAAAATCTGGAAGATCAAGTTCATAGTTTTAAAGGTCGGTCTGGACTGTTCTATAGACAAGTAATGAAGAAACAGCATCGCAGTAGGTATGGGAAGCTCAGTTAGGAGGCGACTGTAGGAGAAGCCTTCATGACTATTTAACCAGAGAGCGACAAGAAGAGGTAAGATCATGGCCTCATTTCAAAAAAAAAAAAAAATTAATCAGGCTTAGCAGTGTTCTGCCTGGAGCCAGAAGTGGAGACACTGAACGTGGAGCTAGATGATGAAGTGGATATTTGAGAATGGTTTTCAATTCTACACTAGAAAAATTACCAGAATGTAGAGACATTGAGTAAGGTGGAAAAGCCCAAAGGAGAGCTTGTATTATTGGAAGAGAGGATTAAGAGCTAAGTTTGGGACATTGAGCATTGGCCTCACTATTTGCAATGCAGGCAAAGGTGGCCAAAGAAAGCAGGAAAAGAGGGTCCAACTCTAAATTTGATAGCTACCATCACATGTGTGAGGTCTGAAGCCATGGGGTGGATGACGGAGGGTGCAAGGAAGTATGAAGTTCCTGAGGTGAATACTCTCTGAAGTGTGGTCTAGAGAATACTGGGAAGAGTGACTGGAGAGATGGGGAGAACGGGAGAGGGTGAGACCGCCCTGAAGGCAGGGGGGGTGAGCATGCAGGATTCTGTAAACAGGTTATCAGAGGTACAATGTAGCAAAAGCATTTTTAGGAAAACCACCCAGACAGAAGCTTCAAGGGAAGCTTTGTAGAACGAAAGGGAGCTGAAAGTTGAGAGTATATGAAGACCATTAGAAGTCCTTCATATGTCAACACGAGTAGTTCCTGTGATGCTTAGAATGAAGGGTTTCAATTTTGGGGAAGGCTGGGAGGTCCAGAGAAGATGACAGGACAAGCTGAGCCCATGAGCAACTGAGAGGTTGTAGGTCTCTTGAGTGCATATGAAGTGGATGCATTGGCTTAGTGTAAGGTCTGTAGGCTGCATACTGCTCTGAGAGTGTCTCCGTACAGCTGATGCCACCACAGAAGAATCTGGGAAGATGCAGTGCTTCCCCTATCCCTTCACTACATACTTGAAGAACAGAAGTTTGGATGTTAAAATTTGTGCTGCTTTGCACTAGGGACAAAGGACAGAATATAGGTACAAAATATGAAGCTATGATGAGAACTTCAAGTCTCTAAAGAAAGAAATTGAAGAACTTATCAGAAGATGGAAAGACATTCCATGCTCATGGATCAGTAGGATTAACACAGTAAAAATGGCAATTTTACCAAAAGCCATACACAGATTCAATGAATTCCCCATCAAAATACCAACAAAGCTCTTTACAGACCTTGAAAGAACAATTCTCAACCTCATGTGGAAAAACAAACAAACAAACAAACAAAACAGAATTGCCAAAACAATCCTGCACAATAAAAAAAACTTCTGGAGGTATCTCCATTCCTGATTTCAAGCTATACGAAAGAGCAATAGTAATAAAAACTTCATGGCATTGGCATAGAAATGGGATGGTTTATCAATAGAATTAAATCAAAGACACAGAAATAAACCCACACTGCTATGCGTACCTGATTTTGACAAAGGAGCCAAAATCATACAATGGAAAAAGAGAAAGTATCTTCAACAAACGGTGCTGGTCTAACCGGATGTCTACATATAGAAAAATGCAAATGGATCCATATTTAGCACCTTGCACAAAAGTAAAGTCCAAGTGGATCAAAGACCACTTTGATCCATCAGATACACTAAACACCAGATACACTAAATCTATTAGAAGAAAAAGTGGGGAAGAGCCTGTAACTCATTGGCACAGGAGACAATTTCCTGAACAGAACACCAACAGCACATGCTCTAAGATCAACAATTAATAAATGAAACCTCTTGAAACTGAAAAGCTTCTATGAGGCAAAGGACATTGTCAATAGAACGAAAAGAAAATCTACAGATTGGGATAAGATCATAACCAATCCTATATCTGACAAAATATATAATGAATTTAAGAAATCAAAAAAACCAATGAACAAAATAACCCAATTTAAAAATGAGGCACAGAACTAGAGAATTCTCAACAGAGGAATATCAAATGGTGGAGAAGCACTTGAAATGCTCAACTTTCTTAGTCATTAAGAAATGCAAATCAAAACGACACTGAGATTCCATCTCACACTGATCAGAATAGCTAACATCAAAAACTCAAGGGACAGCACATGCTGGCAAGGTTGTGGAGAAAGGAGAACACTTCTCCATTGCTGGTGGGAGTGTAAACTTGTATAGCCACTTTGGGAATCAATCTGGCGCTTTCTCAGAAATGGCTTTACTTTAAGACGCAGCTCTACCATTCCTGGGTATATACCCAAAAGATGCTCCACCACAGAACAAGGACACTTGCTCAACTATGTTCATAGCAACTTTATTCATATCAGCCAGAATCTGAAAACAACCCAGATGTCCCTCGGTGGAAGAATGGATAAAGAAACCGTAGCACATTTACACAATAGAATACTACTCAGCTATTAAAAACAAAGAAATCATGAAATGTGCAGGAAAATGGATAGAACTAAAACAGATCATCCTGAGTGAGATAACACAGACTCCGAAAGACACACATGGTATGTACTCACTTATAAGGGTGTTGTTGATTATTAATATTTATCATTGACTTATCTTCTAGCTAAGCAGCTGTTATTCCTAACCCATCTATATACATAAATCACCAAACAGAGACTAGGATTTATTTAATTAACCTAGAGCACAATGCTGGGCAATAGTTACTCCATCCTAAACCTCCAAGCCCTCATAGTTTCCTGCCATTCAGATTTCACCCGTTATACTTGCTTTTAGTCAGATCTTAGGTCCAGTTCATCTCTCCTTGTTGTTTGAAGTCCTTTCCTGCAGATCTCCGCTCTTCTACTCCTTTCACTGGCTTCCTTCCCCTCCCCTCCAGACCAGGATGTCCCACCCTATTCTCCCCATTGGGCAGCACTGGCTGGGTGTTTTATTGACAATTACAGAGAACAAATGGTGGCATGTTTACAAAAACTTGATGCTTAGAATAAGCATCACAATGTGATGGCCGGATTGAAAACAAATAGTGGGGTAGAGAAACCAGCATTTTAATGAACAAGGGTAAATTGTATACATTCCAAAAGAACATTATACCAACATAAGGGGATTTTAGCCATATAGTACAGGATAAGCATACTACAAGGCATAGACCCAAAGAAGATAAATAAAAAAGAGGATCCAACGGAGGATACATAAATCTCACTTGGAAGGGAAATACAATAGACAGACATAGTGGATGACATGAGAAAACAAGGTAGGAGATGGAGTATAGAGAGCCAAGTGGGTAGCGATCAGATGTGGGGAGAAGGAAGGTGAGAGGACAGAGGCCTGTAGAGAAAAAGAAGCGGAGGGTGGGACATCTCTGTGACAAGCTGGAGTCCTAAGTCAGGCTAGACCCCTGGGAGGATATGAAGGGGACTCCATCAGAGACTCCTAGTAGCAGAGGCCATAGAGACTGAAGAGGACACCTTCTCACTAGAATAGCCTCCTGGCAGAGGGAGAGAAACTCTAACCCACTCACAAAAACTTCAACCCCAAATTTACCCTGCCTACAAGATGTACAGGAGTAAAGATAGAGCAGATAGAGCAGAGATTGAGGGAATGCCCTATCAATGCCTGGCCCAACCAAAGACCCACCCTATGGGAGAGTGCCAACCCTGACACTATGGATGATGCTCTCCTAAGCTTGACAAGAGTCTGACAGACAAGACTCTGAGATGTTGTATGCAGCAGTGCCTCAAAGCAGAAGCTGAGACGCACAGCCAAACATTGGGTGATGCTTAGGGAGTCTTGTGGAAAAGTGGGAGGAAAGACAAAAGGACCTGGAGGTGACAGGAACTCCACAAGAAGACAAACAGAGCCAACTAACCAGGGCCCAGAGGGGCTTGCTGAGACTGAAGCACCAACCAAGGACCATAAATGGACTGGACCTAGGCCCCTACAAAGATATAACAGACAGCTTAGATATAACAGACAGCTATAAAAGATATAACAGACAGCTTAGGCTTCATGTGGGTCCTCTAGTAAGGGAAGTGGGGACTGCATTGGACAAGGACTCACTTGCCAGCTTTTGGATCACTTCCCCTGGTGGGACTGCCTTATCAGGCCACAGGGGAAGAGGACATGCTCAGTCCTGAGGCAGCTTGATGAGCTGGGGTGGATGGGAAAGGGAGCTCCCCTTTTCTGAGGAAGAGGCAAGGAGGGAAGGAGAACAGAGGGAGGGTGGGACTGGGAGTAGAGGAAGAAGGGAGCTACAACTAGGATGTGAAGCACTTGCTATGTGAAGACCGAGGACCCACAGACCCACACACCTGTAATCCTAGTGTCCCCAAGGTGAAGTGGCAGATGGGACAGGAGAATCCTGGGATGCTGTAGGCCATCTATCCTGGCAAACACATCATCAAACAATGAAAAGACCCTGTCACCAGCAAAGTAGAAAGCAAAGACCAACACCCAGAGTTGTCCTCTGACCTGCACACAACCTGCCTTGGCACATACATTCCCACATACACATGAATGCATACATACAAG